ATACATATATAAATGCTATTTTGCAATGATTGTTTTTTGCTGGTTTAAAAATTACTTAAAAACATCTTTCAATAACCATCTAGGTGGACCGGGTCTTTCATCAAAATTTTCAGAAAATGAAACTATTTTCTTGGTGTAGTATATTTTGCAGGTTCCTTCCAGAATGTGAGAGAAAAATGACAATTTTGATAGATTGGGAATGGAACATTTGGTTGGAATAGAGAGGGTATTGAAACCAGTTGGGGGGGGGGGGGGGGGAGAATAACAACAATCGTTGCATGAAAAGTGTGTCACATTAGCAACAATGATTGGATACTATATATCAATGTCAAGTGCTGTTTAAAGTTTCCGTTTTCAACTTTGATGCCTACAACACTTTGTTCAATCGTGGAAAAGCTCCAACCGACATTAAATGTTGGAAAGCGAGGGAGATAATGAATGGTTGAATGAGTTGGCAAAGCAAAATCAAACTTGTATATGGGATCAAACTAAAAGTACTAAACACTCTTTTTCTTAATTGGATGGATATATTCAGAATGATCCACTTAGTTTTTCAGACTCACTTTATGAGCGGATCGACCCAACCCGCATATACGACTAGATCATGATTATATACAATATGAACCCCAAAAACAAGACTTTGAAAAGATACGACTGTATCAAGATAGAATTTATGCAATCGACTTTAGAAATATTGGAATAAGACTTTGTTGAGTTGAGTATATATAAATAGAATCAGTTTTGAAAAAATACAACTTAGATATGATTTAAACTTAACACAGCTTATTCTCAATCATAACTTCTTCTTTTTTATGCTTTTACTATTCTATGTGGGGTTTTGGTATGTCTGTTTTGGGGTGGGGCGGGGGTGTTAAGTATTCTCAATCATATAGTTAACTGTAGTACAGTGGGCTGCCAAGGGATTGAAACTTACTATTTAGATGTCAATGGTGTGGTCCACATAGCAGTTGATGGGATTGCTTTCATGAGGTTGCCAAACAAGACTTCTTCTTATGTTAGACAGAGGGGTAAGAACTACGAAGAACAACCAAGTGAGGGCAACAGGACAGCTGTGAGCAGCGATATGGGTGCAGAATCAGGTCTGAAGAGACGAAATAGAAGAGAAGGGGGAGATGAAAACCGTATGTAACTGTAAGAATCACGTAATAAATATTTTATGATTTATAGAATTTTATTAAACCTAAATTCATTGACATTAAATGGCTTTCAAATTCATAGCATGTACATACAAATCATGGGTATAGAATGAAGTCAAAGCACAACAAAGTAAGTGGTTTTAATATTGATAGCCTTTGGTCTTATTATGGTTTCTCACCTAAGTTTAAGGCCATTTGTATTTAATTATAGTGTTTGGGACGTATAACAGAAACTAGTTGGGAGCATTAAGGCTGTAAATGCATTTATTATAGGCTCCCTAGTTTAATAATAAGAGAGAGAGAGAGAGAGCGCAACTTTTTTTCTTTTTTAATGGTCAGAAGTATTCGGACTAACTTACGCGCATTTCGACTAATTCCCTCCTTGGTTCAGTTAAAGACAGACTACGTCAGGACTAAGTTATTTATAAAGAATAAATCTCTTACGTATAAGTTTATTATGTACGTATACACACATATATTGGTCAATGACAGTTACTTCTACTGAGGTTACATAAAAAATTGTGTGCAGTTCAATTCTAATAAGCCAAACGAGACAGCTATAAGGTTTAATAAGCCAGTGGTATTCAATTGGCGATATTTATTCTTTATATAAAGGAAGAACTTTCATTTTGTGTTGCAATAAATAACAATAATAACATACGAGAGAACACAAAAACACACAAATCCAAGAAAATGAAAAACTACTTCTCTCCTGCTGATCTACAGCACTATAAAGCAAACATATAGCAATTACGTACATTACTTTATGTCAGTCTTGTAGATGTGTATTGAGTCTTGTACCACTCTGGATAAAGAATATATATTATGGTTTAAAGGCAAGTCCTAAACCTAAATGCATTAGCTTTTTTTAGGTGATAACGTCACACCATGCCACACCTACATTAGAAGACAATTTAACTAGCAAGAAGATGAAATGAAACTCCTCACAAGTTTCTAGCACACCTATTTCATAATGCATGCTACAACATCAAGCACCCTCAATCAGATAAAAACATAACATTATGGTTCCAAAACCAAACATTCTTTGCTTTGTCTGACAATTTTTTTTTTTTTTGCTTTTTTGATATTTTTGTATAGAATAAAACATATAACATTGCTATATTTTTGTTTGATTGAGGGTGTAATTTAAATATTTTAAGCTTTCAAGGTATGAGATAGGAATTTACCCCCAGTTTGGTTGGAAGGAAAATAGGGTGGATGAAAAATGGAGGAATAAAAGTGGGAGAGAAGAAAAATCTTTCCATTGTTTGGTATGAAGGAAAAATAGAAGGGAAAGTAAAATGGAAGGAAAATGTTTTCCCTTAAGCCCACCAAACATTTTCCCCCCCAAAATGGGCGGAATGGAGGGAAGCAAACTTTTTTGTGAATTGACTATTTTACCCACCACTCTTCTTCGTTGTTCAGAGAATGAGACCTAAAAATTTATTTGCCTCCCTTTTTTTTCTTTTCTCTTTTGGTACCCAGTAGTCCCATAATTCAAATCGTTTAGGTTTAATTTTTTTAATTATATAATTAGAACTTAACTTATTAAGTTTAGTTTTGTATATGTAATGGAAGATTTAATAATTAAATGTACATAATGAAAAAATACATATAATTTCTAGTTAAATACACATTAAATAATTAAATGAAGAATTTCTTTATAAGTAAATTTTATTTTTGATTTAATTTCAATAAATGATACAATAGAACATAAATTTTAATTGTGAAATTTGAAATATTTAATATTTCATCTTGATCGGAGTATTTTTTGTCTAAGTATAATATTTTAAATTTAAAAAATAATCTAAATATTATATACTTATAAACTTTAGGGGGTTTAAATATTATATACTTATAAAAAAAATCATGTATTTTGATTTATTTTCTTTAATCTTATTCATGTAATTAGACGTGAGGGTATAATGGTAAATTTTGTATATATATTTTTCTTTTCCATCCAATACCAAACAAAAGAAAATGCATCCCTTTAATTTTTCATCTATCACACCAAACATAACGAGGGAAAATATATTTCTTCCAACTTCCCATCCAATTTTTCATTTTTCCTACCAAATGGATCCTGAAAAATGTTTTAAAATAAAAATACTTACTGCATATTTCTAAGTTACTTCCACAGACAAGCGTTTCAATCTTCCTTGTTCCGCGAAACTTCAAATCTTAATTTAATAATGTGTCCCAATAATCAATATGGTACGCCACGCAAATTAAAAAAAGAGGACCCTCTCTTTTAAAAACAATGATGTTTCTGGTGACTAATCAGCCTGCTTCCCTGGTTTTCATATGCTCCTTCTCCACATGTTTTGTCCCCATCAGCTGTATCGTCCACATAACCCATTTACTACTACTTTCTAAAAGGGTTTGTCGACAAATTTTTATCCCATTAATCTTTGATCCCAATGAAGAAACTATGGCTTGATCAAAAGCATATGGCCATAGGATTAGGATACTCCTACTTTTTCATTTTTTCCATTAAAAAGGGCATGTCGACAACTCTCTCACTTTCTCTCTCTCACACACACACACACTTAACATGTAGTTGAGGGGCACAGGGCACCAAACTCTACTGCTTTCTAAGAGGAGCACAAACAACAAGAACTAATGGTCTTGAAACAGCCTCCATTTTGCTAAGGAAAATACTATTTTAATCTAATTTGGGGACCTAATCTAGGGACCTAATTTAATACTATCATTGAATTGGTTGTGAGCTTCATTTAATATCGAAACTCATAACTAATCCAATAGTTGCATTGAAGTCAAATCATTAAGTCCCAAAATTATGTCTCCAAATAAAGTTCCTATAGTATTGCTCTTTTGCTAATTTTCCAAAAGAATTATTTGTATGAGGGGCCCAAATTTAAACTCATTAGGGTGGATTCAACAAAATTTTATGTTGGTTGTCGATTACCTAACACAATCCTCTTCTTTTATTCTAACTTGGGACAGACAGCGTTAAATACGATTCTGGCGAAGACAAACTAGAATAATTGGTTTTTTTTTTGAATTGAATTGAATTTTTTTGGATTCAAAAGTAAGGCTATTTGAAAGAACAAAATAAATTTTTTTAATCAAAATACTGGAAAATGGGCTGAAAGGGTAAAAAAATAGACATAAGAAACTGATGATTATCAATTGTAATGAACTTAATATTCTATATTTATTTCAATACATTTTTTCTAAATAATTCATCACCTTCCACACATATATTACTGAAAGTTTTCTTGTATACATATGCTAAAGACGCACTAGAATAATTTATGATTATTGAGAAAAATAAAAAATAATCTTCAACTTGTTATATTTATCTTTTCATTCATTATTTTTCATCCAACATTTTGTTTTTGGTACCAAAAACTTGTGTCAAAACCATTACTCGTTGAAAGCACCCCAAATTGAATCAATAATAGAGAGTTGTCCCAGGAAAGATCAATCATATGGATTTGCCATGCATCCCTTGATGACTTCCTTCTTCTCCGATGTGCCCTTCTTTTTTAGAAGACCACACCAACTTCCAAACCAAACACCACGTCCCCTACCCTATATGAGCCTTCTCTAGGGACCACCCAAGGTCCCAACCTTTCTAAGCCAAAGCACACGAACTCACTTGTCACTCCCTATATACAAATCATCAAAGCACATTAAGACCAACACACACACACACACACACACCCCAGAGGTTTCTGAGGTTTTTCGCACACCCAAGGGGGCCAAAACTCAAATTCTCTCTCTCTCTCTCTCTCTCTCTCTCCCCTACCCTTTCTGAGTTTTTAGCACAACCAAAACCCGAACTCTTTCATTCTCTCTCTGGGTTCGTGGTAAGCTATGGCATCTGTTCATCGTCTGCTTCTTCAACTGAATCAAATATTCTTGTTCTGTATATTCATTCAAGCAAACCTTTGTCGTTCTTCAACAAAGTCAGTCATTTTACCTCTCAAAACCAAGCAAATCTCATCTGGGTCCATCCCAAAACCACCAAACAAGCTCTCTTTCCACCACAACGTGTCCCTTACTGTTTCACTCACCGTTGGATCACCCCCACAGCAAGTTACCATGGTCATTGACACAGGCAGTGAACTCTCTTGGCTTAACTGCAAGAAAACTCCAAGCACACCCTCCACATTCAATCCTCTATCCTCTTCATCATACTCACCAATCCCATGTTCATCGCCAACCTGCAGGACCCGAACCCGTGACTTCACCCTACCCGTTTCATGTGACCCAAAAAAACTGTGTCATGCCACTCTCTCCTACGCCGACGCCACCTCTGTAGAAGGCAATCTCGCTTCCGAGACCTTCCACATTGAAAACTCGGGTCTACCAGGTATGGTATTCGGGTGCATGGACTCGGGTTCTACCTCAAACCCGGATGAGGACGCGAAGACAACCGGATTAATTGGCATGAACCGGGGCTCCTTATCGTTCATATCTCAAATGGGTTCTCCGAAATTTTCATACTGCATATCGGGTCGTGACTCTTCGGGTGTTTTACTTTTCGGTGAAGCAACCTTTCCTTGGCTAAGGCCTTTGAATTACACTCCGTTGGTTCAAATTTCGACTCCGTTACCCTATTTTGATCGGGTTGCTTATACGGTTCAGCTTGAAGGAATCAAAGTATCGGGTAGGGTTTTACCCTTACCAAAATCCATATACGCGCCTGACCATACCGGTGCGGGTCAAACCATGGTTGACTCAGGTACCCAGTTCACTTTCTTACTTGGCCCTGCTTACACTGCATTGAAGAACGAGTTCATGAAGCAAACCAAAGGGGTATTGACGGTCTTGGATGACCCGAATTTTGTTTTCCAAGGGGCAATGGATTTGTGTTACAGAGTTGAGCAGAGTCGGACGAGTCTGCCGCCTTTGCCGACTGTGAATTTGATGTTCCGAGGAGTGGAAATGAGTGTCGCCGGCGAGAAGTTATTGTACCGGGTACCAGGTGTGACACGAGGGAGGGACGCTGTGTATTGTTTTACGTTTGGAAATTCGGATTTGTTGGGTATTGAGGCGTATGTGATTGGACACCATCATCAACAAAACTTGTGGATGGAATTTGATATTGCTCGATCAAGGGTTGGATTGGCCGAGGTTAGGTGTGATTTAGCAAGTCAAAGACTTGGCTTGGGCATCTAAGGTTAAAGTCTTTAGTGATACTGAAGGTGTGTATTGTCGCATGTAACTAGGGTCTAAGGTTGGATTGCCTGAACTTGAGTTAAAATGTGTGACATGATGAGGATCGTACAATCAATAAAAGACCGCATCAGTCGTGCCAATTTTGAGGTCTGGGTTCACATTCAAATGACAACGCAGATAATGCGTATGTGTTATTGATTGTTCGATCCTCATTGATATGACTATGGTTGAAACAAAATTAGCGTAGTGAACTTTAGATGTTTGGATTTTTGTTTTTACTATTGTGGATATATTGGGTTGCGCGATTACAATGGAATTCGAAAAACTCATGAGAAATATTATATTTACAAGAATAATATTTCTATATTACTCAGTGAAATTGATTGTAAAAATGTCGGAGAAAATTTAAATTTCACTATTATAATAAAATTTACAAAAATCATTATAGAATGTAACAAACCAAAAAAAAAAATTGAGAGAATATAATTTTTAAAGGGAAATGCACGAGGCTTGATAGGGCAATTCTTGTCCATTCTTGGGTGTTAGAAATTTTAACTTGGTCTCATGGGGTTCTTTGTTTAAGATTAGGAAATTCATGATTAGGAAATTTATGAAGAATAAATTTTTTTAGTCTAATTCCGAAAAGTTGTTAAGACGCAAATTCCAAACGTTTAAATTTATAACTTGTTTATGTTACCACTTAATCTATCTTTTGGGTTACTTTGGTTGAACTTTATCCAATCCATGGTTTACGTCGTTTGGATTTCAGATGGTTAGACCTTGATGGAACATTGTGTTTGGTGAGAAAAGAAGGAAGGAAGAGGGGGTGGGGGTAGAAGGATAGAGATATATTGGAAATGTAATAATGTATCTTAGAATATCCGCAACAATGCAATGTTTTAGTCAACTAATTACATTAAGTTGAAGCCAGATGGGAGGTCCATTAATAACAATGTGTAGTTGGGATGTTTGATTGTGGGTACCACTTTGATCACAGTTTGTGTTTGTTTCCAGGGGTGCAAGCCGGTGATGAACGATGGAGAGTGATGGACTGATTTTGGACAATAGCTGCGAGATGTGTGATTGTATATAATTAATACTTTTCAATTCAAATCCTATCTAACATTTTTTTAATAATTATATATAATAAAATTTTCTCAAATAATAATAAATAATTTGTCAAAAACAAAATTAGAAAAAAAAAATGTATTATACTCAAACTTTTGAAGTGTTTTGACTGAAAAAAGAAAGTAGGGTGCCAGCTGGCCAATTTTGCAGCCGCCGTGTACTCTCGTCAATTAAATTTGTCCTCAGCGTCCTTTTCAACTATCATTAATATTATTTAATCCTCCTATCTCACGCAGATGACATGATGAGCTGGAAACCAAAAACAGCAGAAAATATTAAAATAACGATGATACTATATCACCAATATTATATGATATTATTAATTAATTATAGAATATTTAATGAATTTAATGGGCTCTGTTATATTAATATTTTTTAATAATCTTTTTATTTAATAAATGTTACATTAAAATAATATTTTTTTATAAATTTTATTTATTATTTTATAATTAATGAATAATACCACGAGATATTGATGTCGATGTATACCCATTACCCTTAATATTTATTCCAAAAGAAGGTTTGCGATATCGTCACGTCTTAAAATATATCTCATATTTTTAATGAGACATGTAATTTTCCAGGAATCTAATTAGAGATTTAATTTAATATACCGTTGAATTAGTGGTTATTTTTATATTTGATGGAGTCTATTTTTAATTTAATAATTAAAATTTTAATTTAAGCTCAAACAATATTTTTCTTGACGAGATTGATTCACTAAAAATATACTATTTTAAATATTCATAATCATATACTATTTTAAATAATATACATATACTATGTTTAGGAGATTTACTAATTTAAATATTCATATTTATTGGAATTATGCTGAGATTGAGTTTATGCTTTAAAACAAGAGTAATTTGGATTAGGTTTCTAAGTTTTAATTAATACCCAGCTTTTACAAATTTTGAATTTCAATGGAGCTAAATTCTTTTTAACTATGTATGTCCAATTTCAAAATTAAAAATCTGTATTGAATATTAATAACGTTGGATTAGCCGGTGGATGAATTTGAATTGGCCTACATAATTTACATTCCTAGTGGACCGATTTGATATTTGTGTGGAAATATATAAGTTTTTTTGGAGAAAAATAATATCTCGTTTGGTTTTTTTTTTTTTGGGAAGAGGGAAAGGGAGGGAGAATTGAACTCTTAACTTCAGGAAGACAAATCTTTCACAAGGCAAGGAGTATCATTGGACCAAAAGTTCATTGATTCATTTGATTGAGTGTGGATCAGGTGATGTCATTTGTTGCAAAATTTTAACAAATAAATACAAAAAAAAAGTAATAATTGCGAAAGGGTCCAAATAGAAATAAGGATCATTAGGGGTATTAAAATATGACACGAAACGACAACAAACATAAAATTAGAAGATTTGAGTCTCTTTTAATCTATCCGTTTACTAAACGAATGGACCTGATCTGATTCAATCCGATTAATAAATGAATTGGATATGAGTGAAACTAATCAGAAGAAATATACGACACAATTTATTTATATATCAATTATACACGTCACGAATCTAATATGATACTATTCGTTAAATATAAATTAATAAATAATTTTAATATGAGGAAAATATTTTTTAATACGAACTCTCTAAAACTCTATACGAATTCGACATGTTTGAAAGAGTCATACCGCAAGGGTTTGTTTGGATAAATTTTGGAGAAGGGTTTGAATTGACTTCTTCAAACCTTCCAAACTCAAACTCTTTTTTGTAAAAATGAAATTTAACATTTAATCTAGTTCATACTCATGTTTAGTATGCAACACATACAGATATAAGATCTACAGATATATCATAATTATTAATAATTATTTATCCGATAAATAATTATTTTACTTTTGATCAATCTAATTTATATACATATTAAAAGATATAATTGTCTTTTAGATCTTTAACCTCTTATCCATTTTTCCAAACTCACCACCTCCAATATTTGACGAAATTCGTGATCATAAATTTAATTTTTGGGTTAATTATGGGCCAAATAATTTAAAAACCCAAAACTGATTTTTTCATACAAACATAAAATTTTATGGTGTTTTGAATTATTTTTTCCAAACAGCCCCGTACCCTTTACCAAACAGCCCCCAATGGTATATAACATGTAATTATAAAAAGCTTTAAGGGTGAAAGCTATAAACTTCCCAGAATCTTGGTAACAGTGAGATACTTTGGTTGAAATCAGAAGGCAGAGTGTGAATGAGTGGAGCCTCTCGAAATTGTAACCCAAAATTGCATCTGGCAAAGCACGTGTACACTGCAATTAATGGCAAATTGTACCCTCCACTAGTTTAGATTCTGCTGCTAGACAGCTGTTCGTTGACAAACAGTGCAACAGATCTTTGCTTTCATCAGATATCATTGGGACACTCGCACACACAAAACAAGCGAGGCAATCCTTGTGACTCTGAACTACTCCTCCATTTAATTGATTTCTGCTGAATCATTCATTTTTGGCAAATTACTACGGTACCAAAAAAAAAAAAAACAATTCAGTGTAATACCTTTAAGATTTGTTAGATTGGAGGGTTCGTTTGATAGGAGAAATAAAATGCTAGAGGGATATACAAATTAGAGGGATAGGTTTTCTATTCTTGAAGAAAAAAAAGAGATTTTTCATCTTTTGTGTATAATAAGAAGAATAAAAAAATAGAAAAAATAAATTTTTTATTACTTTATTTGGTATGAAAAAAAATAATAAAACATTATTACTAGTGAAATATCAAAAATACCCTTAATAGAATATGAATAATCTATTGAGTGAATAGTTACTTTGAGGAAATGGTAATTAACCATTACATAAAAGCTTTGACGCCCATCTTGACCAACTTGTCGGGCAATGCTGCCATTTTCCGCCCAAAACGAAGGGATAAAAAATGGTGGGCAGCTTGAATTACTTTTCCCTCTATATTTCCTTTCCCCCCATATTTCCTTTGTAATCAAAAACTTACTTTTTATCCATTATTTTCTATCCATCCTATTTTCACTCATACCAAACAGGCCATAAGGAGTACACTAAGGAATTATAGTAAATTAAAATTTTCTATATTACATTTGATTGTAAAAAAAAATTCGTATTGTATATAATCTTATTTCAAATGTTTATCCAAATAATATATTCTATCTGTACTATTAAATCGATTATAATACCACTTGATAAGGTTGTATTATAATCTAATTTAAGCGTATTAAGTTATAAATTTATTATTTTACCCACCAAATAAATAAAAACATAAATAATTAGACAAAATTGATATTTTTTTTATTAATATGTAATTAAAACTCTAATATATCATCTTTATACAATGTTTTATCAAACACTAGATTATAATAAGTATTAACTTTATTTCATATTTAATTTTGTATTTTATTTGTCTATGCAGAGTTAGATTGTATTAATTAATACAATTTTTTTTTTACTATATGGCAATTAAACAATTCATTAAATTTATTATTATTTTGAGATTTGAATTGCAATTATGATATTAAAAAGTTAATTTTTAATATTATAGTTTTTATTTTCTCTCAATCAAAGTACCGCATAAGTAAATTTATTATATTTAATATTTTCTTGTGTTTTGTCACCTTGGTGAGCTATGTGCTTTGAAGCATGAATATTTCGTCAAGATCGACGTATCTGTATCGGATACGATGCTCGTGAGATATTCATAATACGTATCAGATACACATTATCCGTATTCGATAATTAATAAAATATGTAAATATTTCGTGGATATTTCTAAACATGGAGCAAGATGTATAATTTTAAATTTTAAGTTATACCCCTTTTTTGGAGTTCACATACAATATAAAACATCAATAAAATTCTATTTGATTTTGAAGATCTGAGTATTTTTTAAGTATTATTTATTATTACATGTTAAGAGAGTATAAAAAAATGAGTCACTTACACTATACTTTTAAAAATAAATACTTATAAAATCAACTAGTTAAATGTTGTTATGATTCATTTAATTAGTTATACTCATTTTATGAACATATCATAATGAGATAATATTACATCTTTTTTATGGTAAAAATTCTTAATTTTACTTACTAATGTTAAAGAATTATTAAAAATTATAATTTTTAAATTGTTAAATAATAATAAAATATAAAATATATTTTATTATAAACATATCTTGACCGTGCCTATTTTTTTGTTTTTTAATTTTATCGTATATTATACAATATCCGTATCACATATCTATATTCGTCCTTTCAAACCCATGTGTGTCTCGTCAGCAAAAGGCCTTTAAATAGGAATGATATAACCGACTGCGTATGGCAGTGCTGCGTTTGGTACAATTAGGGATGGGCTTGTCCTGTTGTGTTGCGTTGGTACGTCCCTAACACCACCAGTGGGTCGGGCTCAGAGATATTTCAACAGAACACCGGTTTGTAAAGGCCTTAAACTTATTTCACCTTAAGGTGCTCTTGGAAAATCAGTACGGATTTTGGCCCTGCTCGGTTATGTTGTGCAAAATAATTTTTTGTTCTTAAAATTTTTAAAATACCAAAAATTTATTTATTTAGCATTTTTATTCTCAAAATTTTTGAAAAAAATAAAATTTGAAACAAAGATATAAAAAACAAGTCACGCTTGTTTTCAACTATCTCTTTGAAAACTATAGAAACACGGAGAAGTTTGGAACACCTCTTTAATGAGGTTTGCCCTTCGAATCTTCTTAGTAGCAAAGCTTCCTCTTTTTTTTTTTTCTTCCCTCTCTCCACTTCACCCATCAAACGGATGAAGACACATAGACAGAACGCATCAAAGAGGAAGCTTGACTCTGTGTCCACTTCGCCTCTCAAATAGAAGGAGTAGAGAGTAAGATGTTTAAAGCTTCAAATCTTCTCCAGATCTTCGGTGATGGTTGTGGTTTTTGGGTGTTGTGGTTTTGGTGGTGGTTGTGAGTGTTAGTGGTGGTTGTGGGTTGGTGGTAGTTCTGGATTTTGGGTAGTTGTGGGTCGATGGTGGTGTTGATGCACAGTGAAAGAGAGAGAGACAGAGAGTGGTGGTCTTCTTCGGCGCAGTTAAAGAGAGAGAGACAGAGTTGAAGAGAGGTGAGAATTGAGATTATTGTCCAAACAAATTTTATAATTTTTGTTCTTTAAAACTATTTTCAAAAATATATAATCAAACATGTTTTGTAATCTAAAAATTTTAAAAATACTTTTTTAAAACTCTTTCAAAAAATAATTTTCAGGATCTACTTTTTGAGATACAAACCAAATAGGCCATTTGTTTCTTAACTCGTTCCAGCCAAACGCAATCAACCACTTAAACAAACTCATAGAGAGCATCAATAGCAAAATAAAAAATTATATATTCAACATATCTACGTAGTCAACTTTAGAACAAAAAAAATCTCATATCTAATTTTTAAATATGGGCATGATTACATACATATCAGTAGCATCCTAAGTTCCCTAAACAGAGAAATCAAAAAATATATATCAACTAAATTTAAAAAAGAAAATTCTTTCAATAATATAAAACAATTGCCCAAAATTGGAAAGCAATTACCCATACAACTAACAATTTTCTACATAACTCAACAAAAATAAAAATTTACTAAATAGAAACCAATGTAAAATATCCACTAAAAAGCTAATGAAAAAACTAAGAGTGGAGGGCATCTTCAGACAGTAGCTGGGAGTGATCCTCTATTGCCCGGCAGATCCCAAAGCAACAATAGAGCTGCTAATCACCCTCTGTCCAGATTCAGTGTGTTGGGAATCGTATACATAGTGCGGAAGCATACATGACCCAAACTCAATATCTAACACAATGTGATTTGTGAATATTTATTTTTAAACTCTCAGCTTGTTTACCATATACGCCTAATGCGATCAAATGCTTTAACATCCCCCACATGGAACATCATCAAAAAACACCAATACATATATACTTGGAAATAATATAAAGAATAGAAATCAATTTCGAATATATCAAAACATGAGGCAAAACCAAGCAATTGAAAATGTGGAAGAGTTGGTTGGGATCAAAGGCTTCAGTTCTACTTAGCAATAGAGAGAACCAAAAAACATGAAAATTGATCTAAAAACGCATAGAGCAATAAACCTTTAATGCCAATGAAAGTTGTCATACTCAATCTAATGGATATCACAAACTTATTTCCTAAGCCTATATACACAACTAAATAAAAACATGATCAATAAACCTTACATAGTTAACTCCACCACTACTATTGTCAATTCTATTTCCCTATTTAGCATCCATTGATATCTTTGAAGTGACTAATGCATATGAAAATATACAGTTAAACAAAAGAATACAGAGAGAATCTAAACAAAATTAATTCAAAAAATCAAGGAGAACATAAAAGGCCTAACACACACACACAGAAAGAGAGAGAGAGAGAGAGAGAGAGAACGTTAAGGTCTGCATTTCCTAATGCAAGAAAAAATCAATGTTTCCAAAAAAATAAAAATAGAGCAATCCATCCTAGACCTTAACAAAATTCTCAAAATCATCCCCTGCCTTCAACTTCTTTTACAGAGATTATTCATTGAACATTTCAAAAACCAAATTACTCTTCCCAAATTGAAGCCGAATGTTATACCTATCCAAAGTCCCATACTTGAAACATCGATTAACCTTAAATTGAAAATTAAATAGAAAGGAATTTATATTAGATGATAGAAGATAGAGAGAAAAAACTAAAGCTTGCACATACCAAAGTGAGATTAGAGACATTTAAGGCTAAATACTCGACGCACCTTCAACGTTGAACAATCTAATTAAATCCGAAGACACTCATGGGACATTTCATCAAACAAACGGTATGCTAAAAATTATATCAAACTAAAATAATTGAATATAAAGATCCAACCCATTCACTCGATTGCTTTTTGATCCAAATTCAACTATGAAAAAAAAATTGAAAACAACAAAAATTGAAAAACCAAAATTGCAAACCGCTCCGCTATTGTCACAATAAAGTGTAATAGCCAATTTTATCGAGGGTACCATTTCTAAATCCATTAGGAAGTTTTTAAGTCAAATTGCCTCTTTGACTGCTTTAGAAGCCGCCACGTACTCGCCCTCTATGGTAGAATTAATAATACAAGATTGTTTAATACTTCTCCAACTTATGGCTCTACCTCCTACAGTAAACACATATATTGAAGTTGACTTTCTAAAATCCATATCTAACTGAAAATCAGAATCTGTGTACCCAATTGATAATCGACTATCTGTCTGGTAAACTAAGTAAACTACTAACAAATAAGGTACTTGAGAATGTGCTTTACTACATTCCAATATTCTTAACCTAGATCGAGTTTGGGAGTCTTTTTGATTATTTTTCCCAAACTCATCTCCCATACCCCCTAAAGCCTTAAACCCTAACAGTCAAGTTACTAAACCTTCAGTTTCTCTCACACAAAACTTGAAATCAAAATGGCTTTCAGTTCAATACTTCGTTGGTCCGCTTCACAAGTTCTTCCTCTAGCAATTGGAGCCGTTGGAAGTCAAAGGTACTACCACCACTGCCCTGTTCTGTTTTCTGCTGTTAATCACAGCGATCTTTCTCGCAAGCTCTTTCAAAGTTCATTTCCATCGGCACTTAACTACTCTACCAAGTGCCTCAGTAGTTCTGATGAGTCTCTCATCCGAGTCATTGAATCAAAGATCAAATGCGTCGAAGAGTCTAAAGGCCACAATCAAGTAAGTGTTCCCACTTCATCTTCTTTTATCCTTTGTTTGTTTATATATTTTGGTTGATGTTTTGTTCTTAGAATGAAAAAGATTAAATTCATTAAGACGTGCAATTATTTAACGCCGAGTTCACAAAAATAACAATCTAAAATTTCGTTTATAAATATAATATTTTCGGGGTTTTGCGTTGAAACCCTGATAAATACAATATTATCAGTCCATTTTCGCTCTATTTTCAATATATTCTAACAATGCTCGTATTGAAATGGTCTTCCAATGATCTTAGCAAATATTTCTTTTGCTTCATCAACCTGAAAAACATATGAAATCATTTAGTCAATAGTTCAAATATCAAATCATAATAGTGTCTATCTAAAAAAGTTCAATAATTACATTATCTTGCTCGGTGTGTCCACTTTGTCGCAGTCTTTCAATTGACTATAAAAACTGACAAATTTACCGTATTTTGTATTATATCAGTCCAACGACTTTTAATAGAAACTTGCGAACGTTCTTCTTGATTGCGTCGATGAAGTTCTAAGTATTTCAATATTCTATGCCAGAAAGCACCACTTTGTTATTCATTCCCAGTAATTACATTTTTACTCGTGTTAAGCCACGCAGACACAATTTATTTATCTTCTT